GGGGCGTAACATTTCCGTCACACGCTTGAGGTATTCAGCCAATCACAATGCACTGGATAGCTGGCCAATAAGCGTACACCTCGCTTTCAGAACGATGAGCTTTGTAAAAATCGACGCGTTTTAGAAAGGCGGGGCATAGAGGAGAAACAATAATGTACAGTATGTGGAAAATAATGTGTTTTTTAAACCTTAAACCTCATGAACACATTTCATTAAACCAAATACACCAAATAATGTTATTTTTTAGCAACGTCATATGACCCCTTTAATTTAATGTGTGTTAGCAGTTCACGCACTGCTAACACACATTTAATGAGCTTCTGCCATGTTAAAGTGAATTTTACATCCGATGTTCCCTTTAAAGGTCAACTGAGCCTGAGCAGCCCCACCCCCTTTTTAAATAGCCAATAGTGTTTCGTTTATATCACAGCTTGGGCCAGAGCCTTTGAGCTTGGTAAAGCCGCATTTGACAGCTTATGACAGCCACAGTCTAATAGATTAGCCTTTTATATTCAGTATTAAACTGTTACTAAAGCAAAACAGCGATTATAATGATGCTGACGATGTGTAGTTTGAAAACTGTGTAATTTATGTTGGTGTAGGGCACCGGTGTTATCTCTTCTACTCGTTAGTGCCGTTTGTCTAACCCTTTCTCCTCCTAATCTGATCCAAATCGCTATAAAATATAGCATTCTTTGTAGAATTCAAATGGGTCCGATACATTTTGTGGTCTGTGCGACTCGCACATATGATCCGCTCTGTGATATTGTGCTATCCGGACCGGAGCAGATTGTTTGCGTGACACAACGCGAAACCAGACTTCTTTCGACCCAATGGAAAGCATATTTACTAGAGGTCGACCGATGTATCGGTTTTGCTGATTAATCGGCACCGATAGTTGATTGCTGGAACTATCGGTTAGCGACAAAAATCCATGCCGATAGTTTTCCGGGTTGCGTCCGAGCGGGAAACTTCAGACGCGGATTTAAATGCAGCCGACAGAAAATCCTGCAGCGCCACAGAGCGCCACTATTCACATAGTTTTCCATTAAATTACATTATATTTATTATTATTTATTTATTATTATTATTTATATTTATTTACATAATGAATTGTGTATTGTGCATTTTCAGCGAAACATTTGTATTTCTGTGGCTCTAATAAAGTCTATATGCTTCATTTATAGAGCTATAATATAGATCGCACTTTCTCTTTCCGTTTGCTCCGTTTTTTAAACGCCGAACTTTAAACTCATCTATGCCTTATTGTTCATTCTTGAAGTAAACTTGTGTCCGTTTGGTGATCAAATAAACTGTTTTAGACCGCAGCTCGAGTTGAACGCGATGCGTCCAGAGTGTGTGTGATACCGATGAGTTCTCCTAGACTCAGTGCTGCGCTTTTATTTTGATTAGATAATCATCAAGTGTTCAAGAATAGAAGCAGTTAAAGTGTGACAGTATACATACAACATCCATATGTATATAATTTTAATGCTATGGCCTTTGTGTATATATTTAAAGAAGTGCATCTTTAAGCATGACACTTGAAATGGTAACACTTTAAAATAAGAGCCATTTGTAACATTGAGATTAATGAAAGCTGTGTAAGTATTGTTCCTTGTTAGAGTGTGTTAATTTCAACATTTACTTGGTTAATTAATCGGGATCGGCCAGTGTGGTCCATCCTAGCTATCGGTATCGGCAAAATCCACTATCAGTCGACCTCTAATATTTACACTCTCTGAATCATTCCTTATTGCCCATTTCACGAGTTCACACTTTCGTATAATTCAATAAAGGTTATGCGTATTTGGTGTGCTGTCCAGGGAGAGGGCTCAGAGCTCGGCAAGACTCCCGAGCCCGGGGCACCCCGTCCTGTCCGGGGAGAAGGATCTGAGCTCGGACTGGCGTCAGAAGAAAGAGCAGGAAAGAGAGAGGGAATAACGGGCGCCGGAACCTGCGCCATTAGCGGGGGTGGCCTCACACCTTGGTCGACTCCGGGAGCGGGCAAAACATAGGGAAGAAGGGGGGGAATGGGGGGCGCCGGAGCCTGCGCCATTAGCGGAGGCGGCCTCACGCTTTGGTCGGTCCCGGGGGTGGGAAAAACAGAGGGAAGGAGATATGGAATGGTGGGCATCGAGGGAGAGGGCTCAGAGCTCGGCAAGACTCCCGAGCCCGGGGCACCCCGTCCTGTCCGGGGAGAAGGATCTGAGCTCGGACTGGCGTTAAAGGGGACGGCTGATGAGGGTATAATTAAAAAGTCGTCTAAGAGATGGATTAAGTAGGGTATGGCTTAATTGTTGGAGAGGATCCAGCAATTGCTTCTGATAACATGTCGAAAATTTTTGGGCTGCTTCTGCAGCCGATGCGTGCGCACGCTATCTTGGCGGCTTGTGGAGGCGCGCGCCGATGCGTCACCTGGAGGATCTGCTGGCTGACGCTCAGAGGATCGGGAGGCGTTTTTTGCTGGATCAGGTGCGCGGCCCAGGCTTGCCGAAGGTCTTCTGCTGCGGCCTGATGGTCGGAGGCTCATCCTTGATGGCGTGGTAGTTGGATCGGGCCGTGAAGTTAAAGGGGGGGACGGAAAAAGGGCCGATCATAAAATTTTCGTCGGTTTCTTTCTTAATTAGAAGATCGACCGTTTCGGGTTCAGCGAGAGCGGACTGAAGATTGGGGCAGCTGAGGCTTTGGGAGGAGAGAATTTCGACACCGGGATGAAAACCATGTGAGAGGCCCGACAATAGATAGTTAGAGAAATCAGAGTCAGGGTGATGAATCAATTCAGAAGATAAACAGGAGACATTTACAGGAGTCGATAAGTATTGCTTAGCATTTTTATTTGGAGCTTTCTTGACAGGGCAAATCAAGCGGGCGTGAGCGCCGCCACAAAAATTGCAAATATGCATGAATCGGCAGCGTTGTCTTTGGAGGAAGCAGAGAGGGCTTGTAGCTCCGCCTTGTTCAGACGGTGAGGAACGAGGATGCCGGCGTTTGAGAGCACTTGGCGTAACTTTGACATGGTCCATTTCTCCGTAGCTGGAGCAGAGGAGAGAGCCGAGGCATAGGAGGACGCTGGAGAAGGTGGCTGACGCCTGGAAGGTGAGGGTGAAGGAGAATCTCGGACGCGGGAGGATCTGTGCTGTCAAAGGTGTTGTCCTCGGGGAACAATTCGATCTCGGACATAATGCGGCGATTGGATGCACCAATGCTGAAAGTCGAGCGATAACGAAGGTAGGATGTACTTGGTTATTTATAGGAGTTTTCTCTTGTATTGATTGGATAAATGGTGTAATCACTAATGATGGACTGGCCGTGTTAATTATCTGTGCGTGCTCCTCCCGAAATTGGGTTATAAACATCACTTCACGAGTTCACACTTTCGTATAATTCAATAAAGGTTATGCGTATTTGGTGTGCTGTCCAGGGAGAGGGCTCAGAGCTCGGCAAGACTCCCGAGCCCGGGGCACCCCGTCCTGTCCGGGGAGAAGGATCTGAGCTCGGACTGAGCGAAATAGGAGACAGAAGGGAAAAAAGATCTACGTCCGCACCTGAGAGAATTTGGTTCCGAATGTTGTTGTTGGATACAGGGGGAGGGTCCAGGGCGAGGGCGATTGGTGGCATAGGTAGGGGCGTGGCTGTGGACAGACAGTAGGATGAGCGGGCATGGGGGATGGGGGTGGGGAAAGTAGCCGCTGGAACCGCCTGCGGAGGCAAGCTCGCGCTTGGAACGGTTCGGGGGGCGAGATCAGAAGAAAGAGCAGGAAAGAGAGAGGGAATGATTCTAGAGAGCATTTGATTGGACAGAAAGTTTGATGAGAAGATGAAGTGCAGGGTGACGTCATCAAAACCGCTGATTCATATTGGCGGAAATGAGAGACTGCTTATATCTTCTAAATATGAATTTTGCCATCGTTTAGGAGCACACTAGCTTATAGATAACTATAAGGCTAACATATTCATACTAAAAGCCAAAAAATGTCAATTTTGATTTCACGGGGACTTTAAATTTTAGGATGAGCGATCCCTTGAATTATTAATTGATATAGTCTAGCTTACCTTTACAAAGCTCATGCGGATGGTGCACATCTTGGTGAGTTCATAGACGGCTTCAAAACCGTGATTGATGGACTGTGCCAAGAGCTCAGCAAACTCCTGGTTGTTGAAGATCTTTAGGCCGCAGAGACTGGGAATCTTGCATACAGTGGTGGGGTGGAAACCATGGTGATAGTTGCAGTTGCGACTCTGGACAAAGATACTGCTGTCGCTCAAACATTCAGCGTATACCTCCCCTCCCACATAGTACAAATGGACTCCTGCAAAATATATGAAAAGATGATTGTGAGTTTATATTATATCAATATTTAGCTTATTAACAGCATTTCTGAGACAGGCCATTTCATCAGTATCATGTTACTATCATATCAACTCAATGTCATATTTTAGTGCTTTATAATAGTGCAATTCAACACACAATAGGTAGATACTGTAGAATAGTTGTTTTATGTAGAGATCATTTCAGTGACAAGTCAAACCTTTTCCGATGTGGCGTCGAGTGTTCTCAATGGTCGAGTTGCGGTTGACATTCGACAGCAGACCAAGGCAGAAACGGTTACGGTTGTTGGAGGGGTCGGTAAAGCCATCCACCAGTACACTGGTTGAGGAGGCCTGGAAAGCCTCTCCCACACGATTATTCAGCTCATAGTACACAATGGAGCACCAGTGTTTGGGTTCCGCATATGCCACAGGCTGAACATCTGCACAGATGGTTATGAACTCATTGAACACAAGCACACATACACTTACTCTATTAAAGTAAAGTAGTATGGTGTGAAAATTTAAATACAAGTATCTCTTAAGATCACCAAGGCTGCATTTATTTGATCAAAAATCAAGTGAAAACAGTAATACTGTGAAATATTACAATTTCAAAAAAGTGTTTTCTATTTTAATATATTTTAAAATGCAATTTATTCCTGTGATGCAAAGCTGAAAGTTCAACCATACTAATAAGCAAAAATGACTTTAGATAAACTAACAATTGTGCTTCATTGTGTTTTTTATTGCTGAAGAGTGTTGAACCTTCTTCTCCTGTGTTCTACTGTACAGACGTGAATTTACTTTTCCTTCAGCCTGAGGTTTATTCATTACACTTTTTGGTTTGAAAGGGCTTTTACATTTGCTATAAATAGAACTTCTTATATTAAAAACAATCAAGCCCTGCTCATATTTAAAAAGTAATGTGAAACAAACGCAAAAGTAACGTAACGCATTACTTTCCATAAAAAGTAACTAAGTAACGTAATTAGTTACTTTTTTAGGGAGTAACGCAATATGGTAATGCATTACTTTTAAAAGTAACTTTCCCCAACACTGATTATCAATGTTGAAATCGGTTGTGCTGCTTAATATTATTGTGGAAAAACATGTTTTTTTTTTCTTTAAGATCAAAAGAACAGCATTTATTTTTTATTTGAAATAGTAATATTTTGTAACATTATAAATCTTAACTATCAAATTTAAACAATTTAATGCATGCTTGCTGAATAAAAGTATTATTATTATTATAAAAAAAAAAAAACTTACTGACCCCAAACTGTTGAACAGCAGTGTGTATTTTTAATATTAATATTTATATTTTGGCCTTTTAAGACAAGTTGGCAATTTCACAGGCTAGCATGCTTTATATTATTATTATATGTTTTTTTACTGTATTGGCACAACCTCCAAAACATGTTATTTTGCTATTTTGGAATATATTAATTCACCTTTACTGCTGGATTGTGTCTTTGAATGTGATTAAGCAATATGATTTACAGATTTAGACTTGCATCTCATCTCTTACAGCAGAGGGCATATCAATTTTACTAGGGTATTTTATATGAGGTCACTGTTGCTAGGCTATTAATGGTAACACTTTAGTAACAGGCTGCAGTGATTGGTTATTACCCTGCAGTATTCAAGGGCCAACAAAATACAACCAAATCAGCATAATACAAGTGGGATAGCTGTCGGTATCAAATCCCACCACAGTGCAAGCAAACTTGTGGGTCCCATAAAACACCAGTCATCAAAATGTCCTCTTTCTGTTATCCACAGCTCAGCTGTGCCAACTGTGCAAATCCCAAAGAGAGGGTAACATGTTTATCTATGGCATATTTCTACCCAGCTTCCTCTGGTCTGTGACACTGGGCCACAGGTGTGTTTTGTCTACTCTTTTCCCATTAGCCTATCACAATAGAAGTGAGCACTCCACAGGATGCAGCTTGAGTGTGCATCCCAAAATTCTGATGGTACCACAACTTCCACAAATATTTCAACAGCTTGCCTTCTCTCCGCACACCCCCCTCACCTCCTGTGTGTCACTACATACAAATGGTATATTGAATGTGCTGCATAAGGAAATGATTGGAATCATTGATTCTGAAGTGCAGGGCTATTTTCATGCCATAAACACGAATGTGTGTGTTAAACATTGTGTTAAGACTATTTTTTGCATAAGAAATAAAAATGGGAAAGTAAACCCTGCAATTAACCCATATTAAAGGTGTTTATAGCATTCAGGAAAGTAATGTATGCAGTGTTCATTTAAGCTATTGCTGACTAACTGTAAACAATGAGCCATAGTCAATACTAACTCAAAGCCCAACAGTGCTTAAATAACTAATGGCATAATAGAAATAAACAAAACAACAAATTTCATTATCCAAACAAATGAAATAACAAATATTCAATATCAGTCTATGAACAAAACGCACAAAAAAATAGCAGAGGGTGCACATCCCTAGTTGTCCTAAACATGAGAATGCTTTATATTATATATTCTTTAAGCAAATGTATGTGCTCACATAGTTTACTGGCTTGTAATGACAGATGTCTTTGCTGCTTAATGCATTTCAGACATGTTTTCCCAGCACATACTTTACATTTTATGGTTATATTGTTCTGACAGCAAGCAAAACTCCGTTAAACTTCACTGTATGAGTGGAAGCACACATACAGGTTTCAAACAGACAGAACACAGCAGAGAACTGAAGCACAATAATTATGACTAAATATTGTTGCTGGACATTCAAAAACATTTCATTATGAAAGCAGTAACTGTAAAGTTATCGTAACAAATATAATTGGATATAAATGTAAAAATTTACAAAATCTTACATTTACATGTTACTGTGTGTGTGTGTGTGTGTGTGTATATATACAGTGGGTACGGAAAGTATTCAGACCCCCTTAAATTTTTCACTCTTTGTTATATTGCAGCCATTTGCTAAAATCATTTAAGTTAATTTTTTTTCCTCATTAATGTACACACAGCACCCCATATTGACAGAAAAACACAGAATCGTTGACATTTTTGCAGATTTATTAAAAAAGAAAAACTGAAATATCACATGGTCCTAAGTATTCAGACCCTTTGCTCAGTATTTAGTAGAAGCACCCTTTTGATCTAATACTGTATATATATATGTGTATGTATATATATATATATTTGTTGTTGTTTGTTTTAAACTGTCCTTCTACTTCAAAACTTTGCAGAATTTTGTAACATTTACATTTTAAATCTTTTCTGCACATGTAGAGCACAGCCTGCATATGTACGTCCACTTAATTTGTTTTCTTAACCTTCAATTTGAACATTGTTTGATAACACTTAGCAGGATGTGGAATAAAATAGAGAAAATTAATAAATTATTAAAGTTACTGTTTACCGTTATTCAAAGAACAACATTATTTTCTGATATTGTATAACCGTAACTTAATGTATGCAATTTTGTTCATAATCACATGACATACTTTGCTGCAAGATTAACCATATTTAAAGAACAAAAAGTCAGATTGTCTGCACCTGTGTGTGTGTCAGAGTATGTTTGTGTTTGGACTTCCTGCACCTGCAGTGTGGGCAGGCAGCTGCTGATAGCAGTAAGGAATGGGCAATATCTTTGCCGGAGTGGCTGAAGCTTAGTGTGGTGTCTCATTTTAGTGAGGTTTTATAATTCAAATGGAGTGTACCTGGTTGGTTGCTGAGCTCCAATGGCAGGTTCTGAGCTAGCAGGTTAGTGTCCATTGGCTGGGGACAGTCCTGTGTCATTGGCTCCTCTGGGGGTATATAAGCAGATGGAGGGGTTTCTTTTGAATCAAAAAAAAAAAAACAGACAAGAGATGTAGATAAATAAAAAGATAAATATTATCCCAAAGAATACACATAGCTCTCAATACATACAATATAAATATAGCACAGCAAGTCTTGTTTTTTAAATTCATATTTGAAAAAAACTAAATCAATATTGTGTTTCCACTATTTTCCAAAGGAGGAAAAAAGGGAGAGATTAATCTCAGCAGTCAGAAGTGAGAAAGATGTCCAATTTGCAGTCACTCCCTTAGAAGCAGTAGAAACACCATGGTAGTGTGTTGTCGACTAGTTTTGTCTTTTTAAATTCCATGTTAATAACAACAAAGTAAAGTTGTATAAATACATTAATTAAAAAAATCTAACTCTAAAATACTTCTGCTAATACTGCTAAATTTACAATGCCAGAGTCTGTGTAAGGATTCCATAAAATGTACCTTTAATTAACAGTCTTCTACCATAAAAATGAATATTCTCTTCTTAAAAGGTACAATTACAAGGTCTCTCGATAAGTCAAGTCAAGTCAAGTCAAGTTTATTTGTACAGCGCTTTTCACGATACAAATCATTGCAAAGCAGCTTTACAGCAAATTAAGTTTCTACAATATTAATAAGCAACCAAACAATGTGTCTGTTGTTTAATAAGCAACCAAACAATGTGTCTGTTGTTGATAAGCAAACAATGTGTCTGCTCAAAAAATAAATAACGCATCTGATATTATTTGCAGTACCTTAAAGTATAATTTCAGTACTATATTATACATGAATATAGTAATCACACAAGTAATTTGGTACAACTGTACCAAAGCACAAGATAATTATTTATATTTTACACATTTGAAATGTACTTTCCTTCAAATCAAACGCATGACATTGCACCATGCTCTATGGTTTTGTCTCAAAACATGAACACATTGATCACAATTACATTGATCATAAGTGACAGTATAACTTCTATAATGTTGGCAAAGATGACTTTAAATAAATGCTGTTCTTTTGAACTTTCTATTGATTAATCCTGAAAGAAATGTATCAGTTTCCACAAAAATATTTCAACATTGATAATAAAAAGAAATGTTTCTTGAGCAGCAAATCAGAATATTAGAATGATCTCTGAAGGATCATGTGACACTAAAGACTGCGGTAATGGCTGCTGAAAATTCAGCTTTGCATCACAGGAATAAAATATACTTTAAGATATAAAGAAATACAATAAAAAAGTTGTAATTGTAAAAACTGTCAAAATATTTCACAACATTACCTTGTTGTATTTTTGATCAAATAAATGCAGCTTTGGTGTGTGAATAAAACACTTCTTTAAAAAACACAAAAAATCATAGTAATTTTGATTGTTACAGTAAAGACACTGAAAAATGAATAGCATAAGTGCAGTTCACCTGGCATCTGAAAAGGGCTAGCTGGGTCCGAGCTGGATGGTGAATGGGGGAAGGTGGCTATACTGCCTGTGCCACTGTTGGGCGAGCTGGGGTAGCTGTTGGTCGGGGAGTTCGCTGTGAAGGGAAGGGTGTTCGCTGGCTGCTGTTGAAAGGATTCAGGGAAGGTGGCATTCTGAGGCATAGGGGGTTCTGTCTGATGGAGTGGGTTACGGAAGCGTGGCAGCATAGAGAGTTTAGCATTGAACTCGCTGTTTCGTGGCACCAGCACAGATGGCAGCACTGTAGGAAGAGAGGAGAAATATGCCAATCATAAGCAATCAGAATGGAGTAGGTGACACGAGAATCCATTAGATTTTGACTTTTGAATGAGATATGAGTTCATGTATGGCTATACACACCCTGTGACCACCAAAGCAGAGCATATCTGACTAACTACAGTACACCATAATCACTGATAATAAGAAAATCCTACAAGACGTATACTGAAAAAATATATATATAACCTAAGTAAGCAGCATATCTGCACTACTAGCCAAATTTTCTTTTCTTGTTTATGGACATGACATAGACACACAAGAACTAATGAAATCCTGAAATGTCCCGCCAAAACAAACCTGATAGCTCTTATCATTAATCACCATAGTGATTTGGAGCATTTTTTATGTACTGGCTAAATAACTAATTTCTAAAATTTCTAAAATAAAATAAAAAAATAAATAAAATAAAATAAATAGAAATACTCAATAAGCACCAAAAATATATCAATGAAACAATAAAATGACATTTCACCCAAGTATGACTATTCTGTCATCATTTACTCACCTTCATGTTTTTACAAGCCTCTATAGCTTTTCTTCTTCTGTGGAACAGAACAAAAAAATATATATTTTGAAGAATGTTTCAACTGTTTATGTCCACAATGAAAGTCAGTGGGGTCCAAAACAACTGTCACTGTATGGACAGAAAACACTGAGGTATTTTTCAAAATATCTTCAATGATTCACAGAAGAAGAAAAAAAAAACATGCATGAATATTTGGAACAACACAAGGGTGAGTTAATGATAACAGAATATTCATGTTTTGGTATACTTCCCTTCAATTCCCTTTAATTATTTATGATTATCTTTAGTGTTGTTTTGTTGTCCACTATTTTCATTATTTTTGTAAAATATGCAAATTGCCTATCTCATCCAAGAGTCATATTCACAGTTGTCACACACGCCTGTACTCTCTAAAAATAGTAGAGCAATAAAATGTGGTAACTGGTGTTTCTGCCTATGTTGCCCACATACTTTTTTTTATTCATACAGGCTAATAGTTTTAGACATTTGCACTGAGATTGGGAACATGTATTTCAGGGATATCGCAATGAGTATTCTTAAACAATGGATGTGGTCAGCGTGCTGCCGTTCTGGAGAGGAGGGGAAAGACAGGTGTCCAGACATCCATAGGCCTGCCCTACACAAGCGTGTGCAAGGCGGGCAACCAGTCTTTCCTGCTATTGTCTGTGTGGGTGACAGGAGTTCCTGTAAAACTCTTCCTCTATACAGCCACATGTTTCATCCTCCACACAGGCACACACACATACACACAAAAGTGTACACAGACCCTGAACAAAGCCCTCATTCTGCCCCTGCCTGGAATTTCCTGTTCCTGCTCTCATAATGTGCGCGCGCACACACACACACACATACTATGGACAGCTGTTTCTGTGTTGTCAGCTGACCCTCATCTTTTGCTTAGCCAACAAGAAGGGGGCTGTGCGTTTGAAGTCCATTCTTTCACCATAAGCAGAGGTAAAGAAAATGTTCTTGTTTCCCATTTAGACACACACAAACACAGAGCACAGAAGGTTTTTAGACTCCACCGTTTTCTCTCAAGTGGTATCAGGATCAAACAAACTAGAAAAGCACCTGGCAGAGGCCAGAGAGAGATATGGAAGGGGAAGGACAGAAAAAGAAAGAGACCATCTGCAGGAACCACGGGAAAGGAAAACTCAGGAACATGCATGGAAGAAGGTACATATGGGCTATATAATCCATATGGGATTCACTGACAGGATGATTTTTCTCAATTGTTAGCTCTACCAGATGATAATATTCCATTTGTTATAAGAACGCCCTGTCATCTTGAGCTCTTTAAGTCGAGTGGATGCTGAAAGGCTGTTGTTTTTGTAGTTCGTCAGCTGGGTAAAAAAAATGCTCTGAAAATGATTCCAAAGGAATTGTTGCTCTGTGTTGTTATAGTTGAATGATTATTAAAACGTTATTGTTACATTGTTATCGTCTTTGATGTGAATGGGCCTTAAGACTTATGTCAGTAGTAATTGAGTGCTTTTAAAATATTAAAATATCTTAATATGTGTTCGGAAGATAAATGAACGTCTTACGGGTTTGGAACATCATGAAGGTGAGTAATTAATAGGGGTGCGCCGATCCGATATTCAGTATCGGTATCGCTTCGATACTGGCATTTTCTGCTAGTTCGGGGTATCAGTCAGACTAGACCGATCCAAATCCGATATAGTGCGTATACTATTCTGTGTTATTATTAAGCCCCACGAAAGCCACAAAAACATTATAAAGCACCATAAAGTTTTTGTGCACTATATTTCAAGTGTTCTGAAGTAGTTCAATAGTTTAATGTGAGGTACAAATGATAAATGAATATTAAAGTCAAGTTCACGTAAACTCTTCTCTCCACTGCGGCTGTCTGTCATCCTCCATTCAGCATTCAGACTGCGTGTCGCGTTCGGTTACGACAGTCAAGACGATGAAGCTCTCTCCAAGATGATTAAATGTTCCTAATGTTATATTTGATCTGTAAATAAAGATAAATGGTTTTGCATAAAAGGAATTTATCTTGCTGGAGTTTCATGCTGTTTCTAAATCGTGTAAATTTCTACCGGATATCTGGTTGGATCACAAGACTGGAGTAGAGATCACTATGAATTGCTCTTCACGAGCACAGTAACTGAAATTTAAAACCATTAAAAGAAAAGGCTCAATAAACTATTTAATACACTACGCATCAATATCTCTTCACTTTGTGCTTTGAACTTCTCTATGCGGAGCACTGCGCGGTGTGACTCCGTGTTGCTTCAAGCGCGTCATTCTGCGCACGGGATGCGCATAAGCGCTTTGAGCCGCTCTGTATTTGTAGCCTTTAGTATCATAATACTTTTGCGCAATGAAAGATTATTAATAGCCTTTCTTGTTCGTCTTATCTATCATATGTTGCTGCCTCATTACTCTGCTATAAATTTAAAAGAAATGTCTTTTAATTTATACAGTAGTCAACATTTGAAGTGGATCAAAAAAGTTAATCAAAGTTGTCCTAAGACAAGAACGGA